CAAGTTGCAAATAATCAAATTCAATGTTTATTAGATCGTGATAATTATCGACTGGCGATCGTTGTACTCAGGATGCGATGCAATAATAACTTGTTTTTTCGTTGTTTTTTCTCGTAACATTTCACGTCTTGTTTTCATTCCATTCATTGGGCATGTGTCGTAACATTTGTCCTATAAATTGTACCAGAATATTGACAGATAGCTTATGATTCGATAGGCTTGGGTTGCCATCCGTAAAGCATCGAAGCAATTAATAAACACGCGTGAAATCTTCTCTCTTATACGCTGCAACTGTCGAAGGTTGTGATGAAACATGTTTCATGCTTCATGTAATACTCTTTGTAAATATAGTTTGATATGTAGCTGTGTGGTCCCAGCATAGAATGGGCCATTCCTTCCTTTGCCGTGGGTATCGTAAGAGACGACTAAGGGAACTTAATGGTCAAAGGTCGGGCAATAGCATATCTTGTAACACATTGCTAAAACTTAACTACGGTTGCCAATCCGCCTGCCAAGCGTGGCAACTACTGACAAAACAGCTCAATAGGAAGAAGCCTATATTCAGCAGTGGACAGTTAACGGCTGATATCCAGACATGCGTGACAACCCTGTTGTCCGATAAAAGTACATAGTTAAAAGTACATAGTAGATCATATAGTACATAGTTAGAGTATATTAGTCCATTTGTAACTAGCTATATCCCGCGGCTTGTTTATGAAAATCAGTAGATGAAGTATTCTATATGCTAAATTAAAATATAACTTATCCTTGTACCAATTTCATTCAAATCAACCAATTTCAATCAAATCCGTTTAGTAGTTTTTGCTTAAAGAGCAATAATCATTCATCCATCCAAATATCCTCACAAACTTTTGCATTTATAATAGTCGTAGGTTACATTTGCAAATTTAATTATACAGATTAAAATCTGAATGACTAGACAGCAGGATGCGCCTTGTTAATATGGGAGGCTATAAATTGTTTCTCGATTTTTTACTTCAGTTTCATTTATTTTTTCAAAGAAAAAAGGGTTTATTTAGTTTAGTTTCACTGGCAAAACATTCCCTTAGTTGGATGTTAATGAATTCGACTGCACCCTGTAGAATTAAATTTCTAAGAATGTGTCCTTCTTTTCTAATCAAATAATTAACATTCTACTGATGAGTGCTGACCTTTTTCCATACAAGGATTGTATGAGACGATTTACGAAAGTGTAAGATGTGTAAAAAGATAAAGAAAAATGTGTAATTATGTCGTCGAAAGTTGGTAATTTTTTTTTTATGGAACTTGAAATGGCAAACTAGCTAACGGTTCACCTGATAAGATATTGGTGACCGTTGCCTATAGACATGAACAGTACCATGGACAAAACAGAGTACACTGTGTCACCTATGATATCCTTCATACGTTGCCAAATCTAAGGTGATATGCCTCTGTTCAGTTCTGTCTGTCCATTCCATACCTTATAGACAGGATAACTGCCTATCAGATTTCACCAAATAATTGTTTGCCACTACTTCGAATTGTGCAGTCGATTAGTAAGGGTTTGTCACAGCTTATGTGGTTGGTAAAAGTTATCGCCATTGGTATTAACGTTAAAGAAAATATTAGCTTAGGTAGATGTATGTTTACTTCTTGTATTTCAACGCGTAGGTATTAGACATTTCTTACGGACAGTCTGTGACGTGTGTCCATGCTTGGAAACTCCTTTACACACAATAAATACATCAGTTTTCAGAAACAGTTGCTGTAAAGGTTAAAGATGCTATTATTCATGATTGACGCAAGGTGCCTTTACGATAAAATTTACATTGATTAATTATGAATTCAGATATCTACATTGTTTATCATCAAGTACATTACATACAGGTTATTTGTAATTGATGTACCAAAATTAGACGCAAAATATAAATTATTATTTATTAGCTTTTCCTGTGCCTTCGTCAGCTTGTATTGATTAACGGAAAGAAAGAATTATTATAATTTTTATTTATGTAAACTTAGATTTAAGCATTTTCAAATAGTATTTTTTTTTATAATATTATCGCCTATCTGGACTGCAATTTTTTTAATGAGTTTATGTGAATACAAATTTTAGTAGCAGTATATACAATGTAGACAGTGATAAAAAAACAGCCTATGTGAGGACATAGATACTTAACCGTCAGCTCGTTTGATATTCTAAGTGCCATAAAAAAAACCTACTTTGTAGGATAGAGAAGGCTCTACTTATACAGTAAGTGTAAACCGTAATGATTGGTTAAGCTGTTTAGCCATTAAAATGTAAGAAACAAACAAATTCACTTTTATATTTATAATATTAGAAAGGATTTTTTTCAAAGACATCTGTAAATATTTTTTTACTTTTCATATCTACAAATTATGCTGTCACTTCGTCGATTAATTACGACAGTTTGAAAAACTATTTTCAAATTTCAGATATGTTAGTCGACTTAATTTATTTAGTTTATTTGCTATTGCCATCAGCTATCACTGTTTTACGACTTATATGTGTTATTACGAGTAACCCTGTTGTAGGAACATATTGTACCTAATGTTAGCAATGCATCTGAATCCATAAATAATCATTGTTAATTTTACAGGTACGCTTTTATGAGCGTTTAGGTAACAAAAATGTCAGAAATAAAGGATTTTTTGTTTTATTATAGAAATATTTCATTCAAATTAATTTCATCCTAACCATTTGGACGAGCGGCGGTCTTCGACCGTGCGTTTTTCAAGGCACTTTCTTTTACGCATAACCACCCTTTGGAATCAACTTCCAGCAACAGTATTTCCGAACCGATACGCATCACAACCTTCAAGAAAAGAGCATATACTTCTTTAAAAGGCCGCCAGCACACCTGCAATGCCGCTGGTGTTGTGGGTGATCATGGGCGGCGGTATTCACTTACCATTAGGTGAGCCGCATGCTCGTTTGCCACCTGTGTTGTAAAAAAAATGAACTCACATTTTAATGAAAGTCAATATATAAAAAATATGATGACTAAAACCTGCATGAGCTGGAACCTCGTGGTATGGTAGCGGAACATTCGTAAAATCAACAAAGGAAGCAACAAAGAATGGTGAAAGCGGCTCGAATATTAATTATCACCCTGCCACCCCTAGGGGGCGGAGGGTATTGAGGGGGCGGCGGGGGGAAATCCCTTCTTACGAGTCAGCGCCTGGCACCAAATATCCTTACTGCAGGGGATTGAAGACAAAAAAAAGAAACTTTTTCTTTTTATGCGCTCTAGCTCTTAGCGTCATTTACTGCCGTGCCTTTTGAAGAAATGCTTCATAAAATTTCTCCCCATTATCATTTCGCCTGTTCATTGTTTACTGCTGAAAATTTTAAAAAACATTTATTTTTTAACCAGCCGCTTCCCGCAGCGTTGTCCGCTTCTAACTATGTAGTTTCCGTATAACATTCCCTTTGGAACTCTTCATAAACACACAGATACTTAAAGGGTAATAATAAACACTAATTTAACAAATATGTCATATATGTAAAAACATGTTAAAACTCTTGGAAGTAAATTTAAAAAAAAAACAACTTTCAGTTAGACACACACAACACAAACACACACGTAAGTTTCGGCGCGGCCGAAAATTTCGGTTAATTTTTGGCCGAAACTGAGACTAAGGCCGAAAATAGAATTTTTGGCAAAAAGTAGCTGAAACCGAAAGTTCGGTCGGACACTAGTTTATATGTTATTATTATTAACCAAGGGAGATTCATACCATAACATGGCGTCATGTTATGGTATGAATACAGAGAGAAATTGGATTATTGGTATTATTTTAATAAAATGAAACTTAGATTGTTATTCGACAATGTTGTGCCTCTCGTACTAACACGGCGTATCCAATTACATGATAATTGGAGTATATGCGAGAATCTAAATGTTGATTGCATCAATTTTTATGACTCTTTTTACAATTGAAAGGGATTCTCTTAAATTACAATAATAATTTAAAATTACGTTATATATATAAAAAAAAAAAAACTAGTTTCAATTGTGGCAAAACCAGTTATTTTGATTTCAAAACTAAACTATTGAGCTGATTTTTATAAAATTTTAAAACAAAACAAATCTGTTAGTGCCTATATATTTTCAGATAAAAAAAGAATTTTCCAAATCGATTTGTAACTGACGAAGTTATGAATTGACAAACATAAAAAAATACAATCGAATTGAGAACCTCCTTTTTTTAATCGGTTAAAAACTAGTATTATAAACACAGTATTGCGTGTTAAACGCATTCATTTCTTACAGACAGGAATGTCTCTTTATTATAGAATAATAAATAGATTGAAGTTTTGAAATGTCAGAAAACATTTACATATATCTTCAATTAAATAAAATATATTAAATATTCATTGATAACAAAATTATAGGCACCAATGACCATTATATAACAAAAAAAAAACGTATAGAGAACGTAAACAATTCATATGGTAAATGGTATGCACTGTTAGCTTATTATAGATATAGATAGGTATGTATATACATAGAAGGACATGGGTAACCATGACAACCTATTAAAATCCCTTAGCTGGACATAGATATTTCCATAATAGAAAGATATCAGTGTTTCTTTATAAGTATTTCTTCTGGTGCATAGTTAAGTATATTATGATTTGTATATTTAAAATTCTCCTATAACATCGTGAGAATAAAATAAAGTAGTGACTGTTTATTTAAAATTAAATGTAATTAAAGAAAATATTATAATTTGGAGTTTTTATTTGAAAAATTAAATACATTGAATCAGTTTTCAAATTATGAAAAACAGTGTTTGTATATTTATTATATATTTAGATAGTACCTAACCTGGAACGGTATTAAACTTTTCGTAAATACATAAAATATCAAATACAGAGTACATAAGACATTGAAAATGTACCCTCTCATCCATCCCTCTCAGATTGTGAACCAATGAGACCTCTTTATCCTGTTGAATACAATCTCAAAATAATGTATTCTGTCTTGCAGAGATACTTCAGTACTCCCTGCTGAAACACGTTTATACAAAAGTTACGTCAACATCATAATAAAGTGAGTTTTTAGAGTATATTATCTTTTGACTATCACCTCTGTTAGTTATGCTGTTATTCAAATGACGGAAAAACGAGATCGATTCTCTTAAAAAGGGAGGTGAACGTCAAATATACATCGTAATTCTATATAATGTAAGGTTGAATTTACTTTGATGCACGGGAAATGATAGACCAATTCAAATATGGAACATTCAAAGATGGTTCTCTAGGGAAAAACCGGTGGCAAGTGCAAGCGATTTACGCTGTTTTATTTTCAGATATGATCATAATAAGGTTCATATTTGTTTAGCAAAGTGGGGGTTATGACTTATGAAGGTGGCTAGGGTTGGTAAGATCGATTTGCTCTGGGGAGACCGGGCCACGTCAGATATTGCGATTATAATATAGCGTATGTTACTTATGTGTAAAAGGTAGTATTATAAAGGATTCGCTATTATTTTTATTAATTTAAGGGTTATTAAACCTTTTTTTAGACCATTCTATTAAACATTTGTGTTTAATTAAAACCGTTGCCATTATTCTTTCTTCTTCAATTTCATTATATTTAGCTATACAGAATAATATAAATTTGTAAAAATATTAAATTTTAAAATGGAAAAGATATTTTTATGACTTTCTAAAACATAAATTAATCATATTGATTATTTTATATCACTTAATTATCACACGAATTAATTCGTGAAAATAAATGACCAATATATAAGAATATTATCTAGAGACACAATGTAGCTACGATGTGTTATTTATTCAACAAAGGAGAGCTTAGCAACAGCACATTGTTGTTTTTGAACGCGCCATAGGGAGGGCGCCGCCCGCCTCGCATCTGCGCTCTCTCGCGAGCCGGGCGGCTCCCACATTACACATACGTATATACACACATACAATATCTGTTATATATTTTAGCGTATCATATATTATGTATAGGCTGTCTGCATGGCTGTGTTTCTGTTTGAATTGTCTGTGGGATACGGTAATAAAATTATAAGCTACAGAGACATAATAGCTTAGTCCTCAGGAATGGCAACGCATGAAAGGTATCATGGGCGGCACTGTATACTTTGTTATGTGCATGGTACTGTTCATGTCTATAGGCGACGGTTACAATTATACATCAGATGGGCCGTGTGCTTGTTTTATTATTCTAAGTAGTATAAAAAAGGGTGAAATTGAAATATTTAAAACTGAGATTCCTAAAGATTGATGACTCCCACACTAACACGTAGCGTTCAGATGTTAAATCAGTATACAGGACTCGAAAACTGTTGTTTTTTGACACAGATGTGTAAATACATTTGTTATTTATATATATTTATTTTTGTATTTATGTAAATTTTAGTATGCATGTATATCAATTAATACCAGTATCGCATTCGAGTATTCCAACACTTAGAAAATGCTTTTTAGCATTAAGTCTGCCATATGCACATACATGTACTGAAAAATAAATAAATAAGTAAGTGATCTGTGTGCTGTAAGTATTACAGTACGGAGATCACAGCAGACATAAATAGACATACACATAAAAACGAGATAAAAGAATGCATATACAAAAAATACATAAAAGAAAAAATAAATAAATAAATGTTCCTTTGGGGAAAAATATTTGCTCAGTTGATAGAACAAGGACATTAATGATTTTTATTTTACCCTTTAAATATATGATATCTATTGTGAAAATATCATCTATAATAGTAAATAGTTACTAAGATTTATATTTTTATTTTTTTGTTAATCTTATAAATTATTAGAAAATAATTTATCATTCATTAAAATCATGCTTGTATCAAGAACAAATTCGTTATTGTTGCAAATCCAGTAAACTTTGAATTACCCAATTTGCATGGGCAAGCCAACACACACATGTCCAGATAAGTTGGTTATTTTTTTTTATTAATTTCTATTGAAATTGACTGTGTTGCAGTCAACACTCTTAACCAGTCAAAAGTACTATTGACTAGCAAAATCAGTTAAAAGTACTTTTGACTGAGCAGGTTGGCCAAAAGTGGTTTTGACTGAAAATTATTGGTTATTAGTACTTTTATATATATATATATATATATAGTTCGTAGGGCGTTGTACTCGGCTCGGACCAATATCTACTGTACACATTGATAATTCAGCGTTGATATAGGCATTCTATTTTTAGATATGTAAAGCTAGAAACCGTTCATAGTTTTCTTGTCGATTTTTCTAAGCATAACATTTGACATGTATTTGTTTTTTTTTTTTTTTAAATTAGATATCCTATTTCCCTGTCGAGGTTTTTCCAAGAGACTACAGCATGGCGTTTTTTAAAACAGGGTAAAATTTTTTTTTAGGGTCGACAACGCACGTATACTGTTTATCATCAGGTGGGCCATATGCCAGTGGTATAAAAAAACGTCTGAAAATTATATGTATTTAATTATTTGATATAAAATGATAGAGACCACTGCTTTCTATTTTTCACTTGTTTTACTTTAATGGATGTAAATGGAATGGTTACCCCGCCTGTGCTATTGGTTTATGTTGGGGGGTTAGAGTGGGAGAAAATATGATGGAATAAAGTTAGATTATTGGACTTATGGTGATGAATTGGTACAGAGGGAGCTGCATGGAGGTCCACCTGTCGTGGTGTGTGTTGTATGTAAAGAAAATATAATAATTAAATAACTACCACTTAAACATTCATATATTTCACACAAAAACCAGTATTTTCATCTTAGCTAAAGCTTTCCTCGGTAGGTCCGCAGTGGAAGATGATACTTGAGGATGAGGTCAGCATAGTTGGTGATGCATTATAAATGTATTAAAAAGTAACTACGATGGTTTCCAGTTTGGCCCGTGTAGAGGTAGACTCGAGAGTATTTTACAGGGGGGGGGGGGGTGAAAGTTTTTAAAAATGGGTACTCTTGACACTATTGCTAGCCCAATATACCCTGTTAAGTCGATCTCCCCATGGTCCTTTCTGGAACTATCATGCTTAATTCCAGGAGAATACATCACGTTGGGCTAATTGACCTGCATTTTTATTCTCACCTACCCCTCATTGGTGCCTTGCCAGCGTACCGTTAGTGCTAGCACAGGCGGGGTTACCATTCCCTTATCATCCACTAAAAGATAACGTGTTGTTATAGAGCCACTAATCCTTGCTACTAATAATCCCTTCCCCCTTTTTAGCAGTAGTAGGAGTTAATACGAAGTAGGATAATAATTTTGTAAAACAAGATGATAACGGGTAAGTGTGCTGGGCGAGGAATGGGGAAGTGAGTTTCAAATGAGTACACGCACGTAGTTTACTGATAATATGCGGAGCTATTCTATTTCATTTTTTTTTATACAACATAGAATGGTAAACAAGCTGACGGCCCACCTGATGGAAAGTGGTAACCGCCGCCTATAGACATGAGCAGTACCATGGACATAACAGAGTATACTGTTTCGCCCATGATACCCCCCATGCGTTGCCATTCCTGAGGACTCAGGTGTTATTTCTCCGTACCCAGTAAATTCACGCCATATTCCACCCTTCAAATCGAAACACAGCCATGCAAACACAACTGCTTCACGGTTGCAACACGAATGGGAAAGAGGTACCCAAGCATTCGACTTTTGTATTAAGTCTCCCTCTGTTGTTTTGCAATTCACGTTTATTAAAGACAATTGTTTCACGCGTAGAATTCTCCATCAAAATAATGTTATTTCATCCTGTATAGATTAAAGAACTATTCGGTCCAAGATTTAATAGTTACATAGACAATTTTTATTCTAGAGAATATGTCTATAGATAAGGTGATTCAATGCCGCACCTACCACATACGGGTTCCGGTATTATAGAGAAAATAAGTTATATATACATATGAGTCAATACTGCGTAAAACATTGCTCGACTACGTGCAGGTCTGTGAACACGCTTAGATATCTTTTCTATTGTCCCGAATTTGTTTGTTTGTTATATTTTACCTTTTATATATTTTGAGTTTTAAGTAAACTTCAAAAAGGAAGAATTTTATTAATTCGCTTACGATATTATTAGTAATATTGAAAACATTTTTTTGCAGTCGATGTTTGGTTTCGTTTTGCTGTCATATTATATATTTTTATTTATATAAAAAATGAATAGAAGCATTTAAATAAATAAATAAATTGCTTAGCAATAAAACCACCTTTTGTACTGCACTAAACTTATTGAAAATTCTTGCTGTGCCCTGTAATATTGGTGCAATAAAGTGTGAAATAAATAAATTTTTATTTTTTTATTTTACGTTTTTTTTTTGCTATGAAGTTAGTATGAGAACCTCCTTGTTTGTTGTATTTTAGATCCTTTTATGTTCCGTTATATCGGTAGAACATTCCTTTACAAAATGCCTTTTAAGGCATGTCAATTCCATCCTGTATATAAAAGTTCATTTATATTATTTTTTTTGAGTCAAATAAATGCCGGAAATGGACAAGTATGTCAGTGTAAGAGCAAAGTATTGCACCTTTAGAAATTGATTTGACCTCTGGTATGAAATATTTATCTCCTTTATTATTAAAAAAAAAAAGATTATGTTCCACAAACAAAACCGTCAATTGTAACAAAACAGTCAATTGTGTTAAAAAAATCCAATAAACCAGTTATTAATCGATTTAAAAATTACGGAGTTATGAGGTAACAAACATAAAAAATACAACTTTTTTAACTCGGTTGAAAGAAGTTTTTTAGTAGCATTCGTTATATACAAAGACCCATAAGTCTTTCAATATACGTAGCTTACTAAACAACGACTTTTCGTGACCTCCGAAGGACTGAGCAAGTGATAATATTTTTCTTAAATAATCCAAACCTGTTTTTGGAAATTCAAAAGATGAGGTTGGATTTTCAACTTAGGTTTCTTAGATCCACAGTGGAAAGATGTCGAAGAATTTTCTAGGATTTTAAAACAGAATATTAGTAAAAACCAATACATATGCAACTAACTTACTCAATTAGAATTTTTTAGAGTTATTGTATTTGTTTTAGGAAGGAGTTCGAGTTATTAAATTTATTATTATATTTCTATAATATGTTATTTAAAAAACGCAATGCGTCACCACGTACCTTGGCAAACACTCGAAAACTCAGCATGTAGTGACATCATTTTATCAGTTTATCGAGCCATCAGCAAGTAAGTATCCAATGATTTTCGTATCATAACCCGATCACGGCTATCTAAAGAATTCGGTAGATTACCGGTATCAATTTCAGAGTAATTTTGTGAGGTGTTCGTGCTAAGAAGAGCTGCCTACTGTAGATTACGAAGCACTCAATTTTAGTACCTACACGCTTCTTATATTTAAAAATGGCAATTCTTGCAAAATAACGCCCAAGTTTACCTGTCATCATCATCATCATCCTCTCAGCCAATATCTGTCCACTGCTGAACATAGGCCTCCCCCATAAACTGTGTTGATGAACAATTCTGAGCCACCTGCATCCTTTTTTTAAGGTCGTCACTCCGTTTAGTAGGGATCATCCTACACTGCGTTTGCCTATACGGGGTCGTTACTCAAGTTCACCTGTATCATTAGTTAAATCCTAGGTACTACTATTATAAACACAAAAGATTGTAAGGATATATAGATACCCTCAAAAATTGATAATTTTGATCTTTGAACGGATTGAATGAAATTTTATATACAGATAGGTGATCTTAACTTACCTGCTGGGCAAAAACCTCCATCAACTGCTCTCATCCCACTCGACCTCTAGACAAGCCATACTAGTCTTTATGGAACCAGTCAACATCATCTCTCCATTGCATACGAGATTTTCCACGACTTATTTTTTTTATTTTCAGGATGACAAAATGTACAAATTTTACCCTAGCTATCGCTTGGCATGCGACTAAAACGGCCTGCGCAGCCTCAGTAAAAATATTAGACATTGATAAAAATAAACAAAGTGATAATCATCTTTTTGAAAGTCGGTCGAAAATTATTAATACAAATCACCTATTTTAAGTTTTCATATCAACACGTAGACAGTTCTAATCTAATCCAAGGGGCGTGTCCTCGTTATCACCTAATCAAATAATTATTTTCATCCTAAAGTAAGTACCTGATAATGCCAAAAACACCTGATTTTTTTTAAGTGTCTTCAAAACATAGGAGGTTCTCGATTCGGCTATTTTTTCATGTTGAGCGATATCTTTCTTTAATCTGCACGGAATTTGATTAATCTTATTGCATTATATTCATGATTGAAATAAAAATACTTTTTTTTTATACGACTTAGAATGGCAAACAAGCTGACGGCCCACCTGATGGAAAGTAGTAACCATTGCCTATAGACTATATATATATCGACTTTTGTACAAAGTCTCCCTCTGGTAAAACTCTTAGGTTTGTTCTTTTTTTATAAATTGTAACATGACTAGAATATTTATTTACTATTTTTTAATTAGGTATAGGTACTATTTTGTTTTCTCAATAGTAGTTTAGGGATAATAGGGGGATGGGATTGTTGTTGATGGGACATTGCTAGCAATACGAGTAGATCCTGTCAGGTCGACCTCCAATCGGACTTGCAAACCTTAGTTAATTCATCTCGGTCACTATAAGGCATATGACCTGCCTTCACCATCATCTATCATCCCTTCCTGGTACACCACCTGGGAAATTGCCATTCCAATATCACCGATTAAAAAGATCCTTGACACTAATATTTACAGGGTTGTCTGGAAGACACCTCTGTTTGGGATAAGTTAGTCTATGTATCTACTGTATATTTCTTTTATGTAATAAATTCCTTTTGTATGTAATGTATAATAAAGTATTTTAAACATTGCATTATCCTTTTTCAATTTTAAGATAAGGCAAGTCTAAATGCCACCGAAACTGCTCGTCTGACGCATGTTTTCAGGCAGGTGTAGCCTTGTAGTCTGGTTGGAGTGGCGGACCGCGCCTTTATGTGATCTTACTCAGTCCGTTACACCACCTGTCGTCAGGTAAAATACCTAGTCTTGAATACTGATAACGCTATTTTGCTATTAATATTATGTCATATTGATCAGGGCCAAATCAAGGGGACGTAAGCCGGGAAATTGTTTAAAGAGGCAAAAAACGATTGATAGCCACTGATGGACGAAATATGTATGTGGTATTGGTAATATAGCTCAAAAAACCGACGAAGAAAAGGTTCACAAGTGCACGTACCGTATAGACAATTATTATATAATATAAGACTACCCTCTATATAGTAATGACTTCAAATATATTGCGGGGAGTTAATAGATGCAGATAGCTTAGGACTTCCTAATTGCAGTCTATAGAGAAGGTATATATTCAGTAGTGTATAATTAATTATTTAAGGAAATAATAGTGACTGATGACTGCAAAAATGTGTGAGTATTCGCTGATCCTATTACGTCATACATTGTATTGTTTTTGCTGGTCATCAGTGCACGTATCTAATATATATATAGTCCAGTTAACAGTGGCGGTAAATATTAATTGCCCGGAGCGGCTAAATACCTAAATCGGGCCCTGTTATTGATTTTTGAAGATGTAGCAGTGTTGAGTAGCGCATATATGACATTTTATCATGTAGGTGAACGAAATTATACGAGTGGATACACTATTTTTTAGGAAGCCTTTAAGATAAATAAAAGTATATATTTTCCTTCATCTTTTTTAAGCGATTTCAAATATGGAGGGAGAGTTATGTATCGATATTATTTTTCGTGTGTATGCCATACTCTATTAATCAAATTTAAACCGATTTTAGTATTCGCCTAATACTCAATTTAATTAATTCTAAATTGGTTTGATAAGTTTTATCGATGATACCTTGTACATCTGTTTGTTTTCCATTAAAACGAATTTTATTCCTAAGTTCAATAATGAGACAATTATATATATATATATATATATATATTAATAGCAATGTGAAAGAGTTAAAGATGGAATAATGTATACAACAGTGGAGCATCTATTGAGGATTATACGATGACGAAGAAGTCAGCTTATAATCCCTATATTTAAAAATCCCTTTTCTCCCCACCACTGGGAAGTCGACTTGATTAATTAAGGAATTAGAAACTAATATCCCTATTAATATTAAAATAGGAATTTTTCATGACTGAAAATGGATTGGTAATCCCGTTGGTGCTATCGGTAGACGCTGGCAGGACACCAGTGAGGTATAATAGGCGAGTATGAAGCAGGTCAGTTGGCCCATAGTGATAAATTCCACAAGAATTAACTAAGATGTTTTTTTAGGAGCAACGCGTGGACGTTGACCTTTTAAGTAGATTTGTATTATATCTAATAAAGAATCAACTCAATTTCGTAGTACCTACCGTATATTTACTATTTTCTATGCGAAAATAAAATTAAAGCGACTGGAAGAGAATACTTTAGAGCATTAAATCCACTTTTCGTACATTTTTGAAAATTTGGTTTATAAAGAATAAATAAATAAATATTGAACAAGTGGAAATAATATATATTGTTAACACGTTTGATAACGTAACATTTTCGGTGTTAGATTTAATAGATGATATATATATCTTAACAGCAGTAAGTAGATACCTACCTAAATCGATGTATCAGGATCTGAGATAAGATTCCATAGAGCTCCACATCTCGAGTGCTGCACAAACAGCGGGCCGCAGATAACTTTAAAACGAATTATTGAACCATTATTTAGATAACAGCCTAACCTAGTTTTGGAGATAAACCTATGAATCATAGTAATTTTTGTGGTCTAAGCGCTCTGTAGTAAAAGGAAGGTAACTAGTATAACTTGGGGAAGGGGGAGAGGATGGTTAGTAATGAGATTTAACAACCTCATTGTTAGCAATACACCCTATCAGGTCGACCTCACGAGGTTCCCCATAGAAACCATAGTGGTTAATTCTTGTTCAATTGGTCACTATGGGCTAACTGACCTGCCATCATCCTTGCCTGTCACCCTTCACTGGTGCCCCGTCAGCGTATATCGATAGCGCAGGCGGGGTTACCATTCCATCTTCACCTATAAAAATAAAGTACAACTTCGTACGTATAGTAGCTGAAAAACATGTATATTTATTTACTATTTTTTTACTTTTTACTTCGTACGCATGAATTTCAGAAATGGTAAAAGAAATCAATGAAATACACCACTTATAAATAGCATCAGTGAAAACTACAATCAATTTGGAGCACTAGTTTTTGCGTAATGCTAGACCAAACATACAGACAGGCAGACAAAAAAAATTCTAAAAATTATTGCTACTATTAAAAGCCCTTCCATCAATTTTTCATAAATATCTTCCATGTAAAGACCTTGTCTAGCAACAAGACATATTAAAGTATAAGTTTTATTTAAATATAACTATCAAAAACTTTTACTTTGTACATGTCTTCATTTAAATTTGTCTAGCTTAGAATTATTCTATAAAAGAAAATTCTAGAAAGTTTGTCTAGTTTCTTTGTTTAAAATTTCCACAATGTTATACACCGCTCTACCCGCTGACATTGATGCTCCTTTCTACTTTGGCTTTGCTGGAAGAGAACTCTTTTAGAGTTAAGCTCGCCTTTGTACATTCATTACCTTTGTCATATTTTTATAATTGGTGTGTACAATAAAATATTAAATAAATAAATAAAAAGGTTGCCTTTTTCATAATATTAAAATAGATAAATTCTTTTTTATCCTTACTCCTGAATACAAACTCCTTTGTTTTTAGCTCTTGGCGCTAATAATGCAAATGAAAGGATATACTTAGAGATTGGCTCCGCAAATATTTTATCAGAATCAGTTTGAAATGAAAATTATTAGTTTTGCCACAACTGAAGTCGATTTCTTTGTGGAACACAATCTTAAATTATATGATAATAAGATAAAAGATATTTATTGACATTTTATTAACTTAGATATCTGAATACAAATCTATAGAACACGTCTAGTCGACGCTAATACATTTGTTTTTGTTTTTATATTATAAATTATTCTGATAATACAATGAAAAGTATCACTAGTTCGTATATTAGTCAGTTGTCAATTTGGTGATCACAAACTAGCGTTATCCAGATTGGATATGTTTTCGCCAGTTTGGGTAATATTTTTTCTGTTGACGAAATTTTGAAGAAATGAAATTGTTGGAGAAAAGTGAATTGAGTTTGGAGAAATTTAAGTATTTTTTTAAAACTATCTAAATATTTGTAAATAAAATATATGAATGAAAATAGCAAAACAGAGGACGGGATAAGAGAAGGAGATGCTAAGAAAGTTAATATTTCGTCATTCACATAGTGGCGCATGGCGAAATGAAGTGAAAAATAATATAAATTTATGATTGGGTAAACATTCTGGAAATTATATCGATTTGAAAGGCAAATTTTTGACATCGGGTTAAAAATCTAAATCTGCATCTGTCAACCCTATCAAAAACTGGAGATTGTTAACAGAATCTTTACTACAGTTTCAACTGTCACGGATTCCTTAATAAGTAACCAGAATAGTTTCACACTCTAAACAGTCTCTGACCGATCTCCTGAACATAAATATTCCGATGCCTTTCCTCGAACTGATTGAATGGCCGAGCATTCATTCAATCACCGCGGCATAACGGTACCAATGGTCTATCAACTGACCAGGATAACAGAACCCTTGGTAAGATCCTGCTGCCCGCTGACTATATCAAGTTATGTATGGTCAAGGGAGGGAAGGGAGCTCAAAGGACAGTGGTCGTTGTAAGAGTACGCGTTTGAATTCAAATCTCGTGACCGTCTTCCGTGAAACAATGCCATGTGTGTAGTGAGTACTTGTAAGCAATTCATATTTGGTTATTTTGAGTACAAAAGTATAGAATAGAAATTATTTTTATTCAAACAAACGTACTTTCTTATAAATGTTACTCTTTAATCCGAAATTTCGTATTTCAGTTAATAGAAGAATGGATACGAAATCTGATTGGTTAAAGTTTTATTTGCAACTTTTCAAAAAAATTTTAAAGCGTTTGATTTTATGTGAACACTGAACACCCGCCTAATATTAAGTAATATATATATATATATATATATATATATATATATATATATATATATATATATATATATATATATATATATATATATATATATATATATATATATATATATATATATATATATATACAGGTTACAAAACATATATACCTGTTTTAAAATTGTAACTGTGATGATGTGTGCATATAGGAGATATTTAAGAAAAATTGAATTAAATGTTTGTAAACAAGTGAGAATAATTTCTATTTTTTTATAATAAGCAGGTACCATACCACATTTCGGAAAACGGTAGTAGTCGACATGAGCAATTACTCTTTCCACACAAAAGTTGAATTTTACAAATTGATGTTTTTGTGTGTACCCACCAACAAAATACAATTAGATAATTTGAATTAAGATTAGACCAGAGTAGAAATAACATCCGCTCTCGAGTTAGTTCGCCTGGACATTTTTGTGAACTCAAGACACTCTTCTCTGCTTGGGGCTAGTTATCCAGAAAACAGACACATTACCTGGTATGTCTTTAAGATACGACCATTTTCTGCATACTATAACGTCTATGGTGTTAGTCGATCATGGATGGGCTTTTAAATAACTTTTTAATTTTAGACATAGCACATTTAAATAAATACACATAATGTTAAAAGAGTAACCATTGAATTTCTTGAGGGTTCTTCTCAGCAGATAACAACATTCCGAACTCAACAGAAAATTTATAAAAATAAATTAGAAAATATAAAATATAAAAATAATTTAGAAGAGCTTGTAATTAAATCAAATCAAAATTACTTTGGTAATAGGCTATAATGATGATGATGCTTATAGATGCCTATGGAGGCTCTTAATAATAAGACCGTTTGCATGGTCCTCAGCTAGGCACACCCAGATACGAGTTAATTCGGAAAAGTTCTTCTCCAAAATTGGACTGACCAGGGATCGGAGCCGGGATGCTATTTACGAAAAACAACGTACCCACCACTGCATTATGGTGATATTAACTTCAATATATCTGTTTCCTTCGATCCTTTACTGGAAAAAAGCCTTTATAGAAACCTCTTTTCATCTAAAAGTCTATGGAATTGAGATATGGTGAGATACTGGTAGTCACTGTTTGTCAAATATAAATCCTTTTTAATTAAAAGTCGCTCAGCGAGCAACGAGAAGGGTTACATTTAGAGTTTTACACAGCTTGATAGAGATTAAATTATGTACTTGGAGCAACTGAGGTGGAATAGATGGGTTTTCTAGTTTTTTTTTTTTTATGGATGATAATGGAATGCTAACTCTGTCTACGTTAACAGTGAATGCTGGCGGGGTATCAGTAAAGGACGATAGTTGAGACTGATATATATAAAATAGCCAATCGTGATAAATAATGCATGTAATTCAGTACGATTGCTTTCAGGAGAAACCGCGAGAAGATCGACCTGATAGGGTATATTGCTAGCAATGGGGCTGGTAATCCGCAGTACTAACAATCCCTTACCTTACTTACGGGGTTTCCAGTAACTAACTTTTAACTGACATGACTTCATTATTTGGTATGACGACCTCAGAAATATTGTAGGAAGTTAATGGCTGCAGATGACTCAGAATTGTATTTTCCAGCAAAACATAAGGGTAGGAGAATTATGTTCTGTAATAGACTAATACTCATCATTAGTATATATGGAGTAGTGATGATGATGATGATAACATTTTCACTGTAATGAATGATCAACTGTTATATTTATAAAACTCCTATTTTTATAAAAGTTAGAGCAATCACAGCCTTAGTTGCATATTTAGCAAGTTAATAAAAAAATATTAATATTAATAATTAAAATAATAATAAATTAATAATTTAAATTACTTTATTTTGCTTCTCAGTTATAAAATATAACAAATATATTTATTTAAATAATACGGGAAGAAATAATATAAATAATTCGAGCAATTATATAAACTGCTTCACAAAATCCGGCACGAAGGACTAAAAACGGGGTTCTTCTGTAAAAAAAGTATAATATTTTTTTTTTATACAATATGAAAAAGTATTGACAAATTGCAAATCAATACGAAACCCGTGTTCGAGCAATAAAAGCATAAAATCCAAAATTCACATCTCACAAGCAAAGGAAGTGAAAAAAAGCAACGAGCGCGGAAGCGACGGCCGTTGGCACCGTAACACTGCGCACATACTGATTAAGTTTTAGCTCCGAGTAGCTCCCAGCGCGTGAGATGCTAATGATCCATCGAGAGGAGACGGACCGGATTAGCATTAATACACGCGTGACTTGAAGGATTTACAAGACAGCGGCCGAGCGAGAGAATTCAAATTTATTACATACTTATTGTGAATGAATGGTCAGTCGTAAATTGTTAATTAAATGTAATCCTATAGTGGAAAATTTTTAGTTGTGGTTTTTTATTGTGTTTTCCCACGGGAATTGGAGTGTTTACTATAGTAAAAAGTATACCATATATTGAAACAAAAAAGAGATAGATGGACTGTGTGAATGATGAGATGGCCAGAAAGAGAGAAACTAGTGAGATGACTACAAATAGAGAAGAATGCATATATATTACGCGACGTCAAACAGAAATGGGGAAGAAGAAGACAAAGAAGAGTATTATAACAGGATTATGAGATTGTATAAGAAACCAGATTTAAGTTATTACTTTTAATTAAAATTAAAATCCACTAATGATTATACTAATTTGAATTAAAATCCATTTTGTAATTTTTGCGTGATGTGTGTAAATATAGGATTATTTTTTAATAATAAATTATTTTTTGGTTACAGATAACTACGATACATTTTTGTTATTAATAATTGATGTTATTAAAGATAATGGAATAGTAACTCCGCCAGCGCTATCGGTATACACTAGTGGGACACCAGTAAGGGACGATATAGGTAAGGATGAAGCAGGTCAGTTGGCCCATCGTGACGAATTTAACAGCAAATTAATCACAATGGTTTCCATAGGGAACCATGCATGAAATGAGGTTAACTAATTCCCATTACTAATAATTCCTTCTCTCTTCGATATTGGAATATTAATACACGAGTTTCCATTTAAATTATGAAAATGAGTACATATAAAAAAAATTAATGAAATTGACTTTTTTTTATACAACTTAGAATGGCAAACAAGCTGACGGTCCACCTGATGGAAAGTGGTAACCGTCGCATATAGACTATGAGCAGTACCATGGACATAACAGAGTATATTGTTTCGCCCATGATACCCCCAATGCGTTGCCATTCCTGAGGACTCAGGTGTTATTCCTCTGTACCCAGTAAATTCACGCCATACCCCACATATACATACATAACCATAGTCCATATCTTAAGGATAAATTGACTGACCGGATAAAAATTAGCTTTGTATGTGTATGAATAAAACACAGTTGTCAAGGAAATTCCAAACTTATATAACATTTAATTATGGTAATGTTACAGTGAGCTAAGTATGTACATATGTAGTTGAAGAGCGTGAATAATTTTTTATGAATGAGTGAATTTGATATGCTGTGAATGAGTAGCCTATGTAGTACTCCATGCAAAATACCACGTATCTAGGTATATGTTAAATTTCATGACGCATCTAAACATTGCTGATTCAGTTGTAAGATGTAATAAACGAATTTACATTTGCCTCTAGAATAATTAGTTATTTTTACGTATAATAAATTGCAATCAAATCAAAAATGGATTTATTTTTGGAGTTGTCATTATTTAGTATTATAATATGCGCGAAAATTTATACTTTTTGAGTGTTTTATTTTTATGCAACTTAGAATTACAAACAAGCTGACGGCCTGCCTGATGGAAAGTCATATCCATCGCTTAAGACATGAACAGCAGCATGGATATATCAGAGTATACTGTTTCGCCTATGACACCCCTCATGCATTGCCGTTCCTGAGGACTAAAGTACTCTGTACCCTGTAAATTCAGTGCCATATCCCACCCTACAAACCGAAACACAGCCATGCAAGAACAACTGCTTCACGGTAGAAACACGAATACGAAGTGTTTTTTTTATCTATCTGTTAGTGCATTAGCGTTTCATATATTATATAAACAACTGAATTGTATGCTAATTTTTTTTGTGTTAAATATGGAGCAACATATAGATAGTTTAAAAAAATATTGCCCAAAAATGTATAATGTGCTGTATAACTTAGTTGAAGTTGTAAGCATAGCTAGTGTTCCAAATACAGACTCCAAACGTTATTAATAACATAATTATTCTTTTTTTCATTTAAGAGTTTCCTCTTGTCAGTGCAACTAATTATAACATACAAATAGTATAAATTTTCGCGCATATTATAATACCTACTAATTAATGACAATTCCAACAGAATTATTATGGGAGAATAATCTATAAATATTTTTTTTATGGAAATATACATATATTGATACTTAAAGGTACATTATTCTACATATAATATGCTGTGATCTTTCTTTACATTAAGATGAAGAAGTATATAAATTATATATTAAAATATTCAATGTTTCCATGAAATATTATTTTATATGCATTGCACAGATATTCATCGTGTACAGTTAGATTCATAAATATGATTATTATAATAATATTGGTTTGGTACGTTACTTATCGGGACATATTTGAAAATATTGTCATTATCACCATCTAGTTATCGTAAATTCTTCGATATTGGCCTCATTTGTCAAAATTGTTAAAAAACAAATGTCTTATAATCAGTGATCTGGCGATTATCATCGAATGTATGTCACAGACAAGAGAATGTACGATTTCTACTTGCAATTGTTATTTATTTATACCCTCGCGTTACTTTGAATTTAATTAAATTTTGAATGCATGATAATGGAATGGTAACCTCGCCTGCGCTATAGATGTACCCTGATTGGGTACCAGTGAGGGATGGTAAGATCAAAATATACTACTGCATCAATGCGAATATGATTTTTACAATTATATTCCTAGAGGTCTTAAAATCTGGTGCATATTTTATTTTTATACGACATCAAAAAATTGATTCCTACTTTCATAATCCACGCATACGAAGTTGCGGGCAATAGCTACTTACAGATTGATTCCCGTGTGAAACTTGTTACAGCACTTACATTTTGCTACAATCTCCCGTTGTTTGTTTTACTGTCATTTTATTACTGCTGAGACTGTACATCGGTTTAGAATGTTTTGAACTGTTAAAATTCCTGAGCGAGGCAGCGGTCAGCCGGGGGGTCGCGTGCGCGGCATACGAACGCGTCCGCGCAATCGAACCTAACAGATAACATCTCTGTACCATTATGCGATTCTCTTGAGAATTATATGTTTTTATATAACAGTATATTACCATAATCATTACTTTTCAAGACCTTTCTTTCTGTTTATTTATTGGAGGGGACTTTTAACCTATTTGTTTTTTTTTATGCAATTTAGAATGGTAAACAAGCTGAAGGTCCACCCGATGGAAAGTGGTAACCGTCGCCTATAGACATGAGCAGTACCATGGACATAACAGAGTATACTGTTTCGCCCATGATACCCCCCATGCGTTGCCATTCCCGAGTACTCAGGTGTTATTTCTCTGTACCCTGTAAATTCACTGCCATATCACACCCTTCAAACCGAAACACAGCTATGCAAACACAACTTCTTCATGGTAGAAACTTGGATATGCTAGCCCCATCGTATCTTAAACTAAGATAGGTCCATTTCAATCTCAAGATGCCCTAATTAGGTGGTAAAATATTTTATTTATTTATTCTATATTGACTACATTACAAGAAATTTTTGGTACAAAAGGCGGACTAAATGCTATATAGCATTCTCTTCAAGTTAATTTTATAATATAGATTACTTTAATTACTTCGATCCATCTCCTGTCGTGTGATCCTGGCATAGAATGAGCCTTGCTCTTTACGTTGCTTCTAATAATTTTTGTTATGCTGATCTTATTGTGTATATATCTATCTTCACGACAATTCCTTTGCGAGATAGGCAGAGAGAATAGAATGCCAAAATCTCTATCCGTACATTAATCTCTTGCTTCCTGCGCTCCTCATAATTCGTTTCGGTTATTACCTTCCGTCAGTTTGTTTACATTTTAGTTTTTATAAAAACACTCTGGACTATGGATTGGATTCAGTCCTGGCATTTGAGATATTCGAGGTTGCGGTTTCAATACGTACCAAAATAAATATTTAACGGTACATTTTATACATAATCTATCAGCTTTTAGTCTTAGCGTTATCTCGTCTGATAAACAGGAAAATGATTGTTGAATAGGATCACGCAGCTGTATAAACTAGTGGTCGCCCCGTGGTCGAAATTCGACCATAACACATATTGTAATAAATGAATTTATTATGGTTATGTTTAACAGTATACAGATAGACTATAGACAAATATTAAAAAAGACCAAAAAAGGCAAATAAATTAATCTATTCTCAATTTGACCACACATATTAATAATAAACAAAAGAGTGTATATGCGTGTGTTAAATACATGGTAGAGTGTGTACCTAAAGTTTTTTTTTTTTTATTTAAAAATGTATTTTTATGCACAATTTAAAAAAAATGCATTTAGTACCTCTTCTCTATATAAACAATACACGAAATTTCATACTCCTCCGTCCGTGCAATTTTCGTAAAAAGGGCTAAAAAGTTTTTGCTTCACGTATTTATATATAGATAAAGTAAACATTTTAAAAGAAAGATAATTAATACTATTTTTATACATAATCCAATTTATATCGTTATCCAAATTTTAAGAGATTATTTTACTAAAGGAAGACTTTGTACTAAATTCGTCTACTTAGGTATCTCTGTCTCATTTGTGTTTTCCCCTTGAAGCAGTTGTGTTTGCATGGCTGTGTTTTGGTTTGGAGGGTCCACCTTTTAATCTTCCAAAATGGCATTAAAATTACAGGGTGCAAAGACATAACTATTTAGTCCTCAGGAATAGCAACGCATTAGGGTATGATGGGCGATACAGTATATTCTTTTATGCCCATGTTACAGTTCATGTCTATAGGCGATGGTTACTATTTCCAATCAGGTGGGCCGTCAGGTTGTTTACGAAAATTATTTATTATAAAAAGTTATAAGTAGACATAAAAAGTTGAGACTCAAATACATGGTTACAACGTATAAATAACAACGTCGGGGTCGGTCGGGGTATGTAATAATAGTTTTGTAATTTTTTTGTAAGAGATACACCTAAAGAAAGAGAACTAAAGTGTATCACGAGAGGAGCAACAAAAGTGTAAGAGATAAGAGACAAATGAATGAGTGAGTATACTCAATTTGCATTATACAACATTTTTAGTAAAAGTGAGTTTGTTTGTTTGTTACCTCTTAATGCCTTAACGGCTTAAATGTACACTATGACATTTGTTGTTCAGTATTGAGACAAAGACTTTTGTCGCGGTCACTCGGACGAAGTCCGATGAAACAAAAATATTATAAAATGACGTAAACAATAATACAATAGCGTCACGGCTGCACAAGACTAAGGGTCTCGAATGATCCTGAAACTAGTCGAGTTTTCTCGATCAATTTACACGTAAATTAAAGTGACAGAATAAAAAACAATAAATATCCTTATATTAGAAAAATAATAAAAATAAATGCTATATAATCATATTTAGTCCTGAAGTTAGAATACCCTAAGTTATGAGGAACTAAGCAATGAATCTCTAGGGGCATAATCGTGAACGTCCAGACCCGATTATTATTAGAGATATATCTATTATATCTATATACATGCCTTTGAAACTTTTCTGTCTACCCCGTAAAGAACCTAGCGTCAAGATAGATTGGCGTCTACATCTTCTGCTACAAATTTAAAACAAAAAAAAACGAAACTCATGCTTATTATAAACAAATAACTTTATACTTATCATTAAATCCGTAAAATTAAGTCATTCCGCTGATAATATCAGTATCAACAAATCGATCATGCGGCTGAAAAATCAATATTTGTGATCATGATTTGTCCATGGCTTCGCCGTTATAAGGAATTGACTAATGTTGTGTTCCGTTTGTGTCCCCGTATTACGTAGGTTTTTAAACCTGACAATTCTCACGTGGAATATAATAATAATACAATAATAATAATAAATATTTCATATTTTTTAATAGAAATATCTATAATGTTTCCTTCTATTATTGTACGCATACTGCCCGCTAATAATTAATGCTCCTTTCCACTCAGGGTTTACTGGAAGAGAACTCTTACAGAGTTAAGCTCGCCTGTTGTACATCTTTATTTTATATATATATATATTATATATTGTAATTTTTTGTGTACAATAAATAAATAAATAAATAAAATCGTTTATTTCTCTTAAGTAATTTGTAATTAAATAGATAATAATACATTTTTAGAGGTTGTAAAAGTAGGAGCCTGAACTAGACAAGAAGCCTGTACACTGATTTTAAATTATTTAATTAAAAGAAGGAATTCCAACTCACATAGGTCTCTCCTTATTGGGGTTTAGTTGCCAGTAGTTGCTATGCTTGGCAGGCGGGTTGGCAACAGTTAGATTTTGGTAATATTTCCATTCAATCATCTCTCCACAATTAAGTTCCCTTAGTCGCTTCATTTGATACTCACGGGAAAGGAAGGAGTGGTCCATTCTATGCCAAGACCACGTGACAATTCCATGTCAACTATATTATAAATTAAATAATAAATAATTAAAATTAAAATAATATTCTTACTGTAATATCAAGCTGAAAGTTCGATTAAAAACATAGAAACCGGAGATTCAAAATTAACCTTACAAAATAATTATAGGTACTTATTTGAAAATACTTTTTCTTTTTAATAACGAATCGATGAATCATTTTTTGTTCACGTGAAAAATCCAAGATAACGGAGATTAACACACATTTAAATGCTATTCCTGAAACAGATTAGATACAGTGATACCTACTTCACATTTTATTTATCTGCTTTGTAGGTATTATAGTTACAAATAAGAAAAATATTAATAATTCAATTAATTTGTTCATGTCATTTTATTTTTAATTTTAATGTAACTTGATTATATACGAAGAAAGCAAAGTTTCCTTAGCCGTTTAGTCGTAATTGTAGCGAAATAAAAAAAAAAATACAACACAGGGGCAAAAGAGCATGCGGCTCGCTTGATGGTGCCTACCGCCGTCCATGATCACCCACGACATCAAAGGCATTACAGGTGTACTGCCGGCCTTTTAATAAGGAATATGCTCTTTTCTTGAAGGTTATAATGTCGTATCGGTTCGAAAATACTGCTGCTGGAAGTTGATTCCAAATATTATTTAAATCAAATAACCATATGGACTTTCGCAAGATAATTTTTAAAAAATAAATTAATTAATGTGAAAAATTTAGTAAAAAATAGGGTCTGCATGCTAAGACATAAGAAAATAACTCATAGTTCATTAAAAATAGAGTCTACATGTTAGGATATAATTAGATTATACCTCCTGATCGTCTGAACGGAGTAAACATGGTGTTCCGAGTACTCCATAATGCGGCATTGTGTGACATCTCTTATCAATGGAGCTAGCAAGAACACGACACTATGCCATTCAGGTATTCAGATTAAGTTCTGATCTTGTGATATTTATAGAACTATAGGCTGTTTTTATACTTTTTAAGCGCTAGGGGAAGGGATTGTTAGTAAAGGGAACGCTAATCTTCATTACAATATACAGTGTCAGGTTAAATTCCACGCGATGTTTCTTGGAAACCGGAAATCGTTGTTAATTCAATGAGTCAGCTGAACTGACTTCTTATTTGTATCGATTATTATTTATTTCATTTATAAAAAAAAAAAAATTAAGTGACTGCAAAGCATTTTTCCAATTCGAGGGTATTTTTATAATCTATATTTTTAATCACGTGCTATTCTAACCAATTGAATCTATTTTGATTATATTTTTATCATAAAGGGTCAATTATTATTTTGACCTTCATGCTAATTCTAACGTATTATAAGAAACGGAATATATATATATATATATATATATATATATATATATATAATTTTGATGTTTTCTAAGAGATTAAATTAATTCATCCATCACATTTAATGGTTGAGGGATCAGCAGCAGGGCAGCCCTCTTTAAACAGCACCAAAGTCTAACTGCGGTTGCTTACTCGCCTGTCAAGCGAGGCAAATACGAGTACTAGCAAAACTCCTCTTATGGGGGAGGCATATGTTCAACAGTGGACAGTTAACGGTTGATACTATACATTACTATTAAAATAGGATTTGGATATAATCTGGAATAGAATCTGGATTCAAAAATATATTTTTTTTAAGAAGGATATTCACTACAATAAAAGTAATAGATATTAAAAGATGGGCTAAAAGGAAACACCCAAAGCCCTAAAACTATCATAAAAAAATTGCTACTTTTGTCACAAATAAATGTTCTATTTCGTTATCATAATTTTGATTTATGAAAAGTACCTTTATAAATATCTATAAATTTACCACACAATCTCCTCTCACAGCGTTTATAAACATGGTGGCGCGTGGTGTGCATATAAATATATTGCTGCACTCACATTATGCAGTATAATGCATTCAACTCACCGCGCCGGCCATCTCGTGAGATGTCTTGGAAAATACGCTGTACAAATTCTTGCTGTCGGTGAAATAAATACCAATGAGTATTTATTACCGATAGTTACGATATATTACTTTTGTCTCTGGTTTCGAGGCAGATGGCTTCCTGCCAAGGCTTTATAAATAAAAAAAAAGATTTATTTTTTCCCTAAATTAAAAATATATAAATTGGTAATTATTTTTTATTTATTTAGTCTTTAATGCACAAATATTTATAATTAGCTTTTACCCGCATCTTCGTTCGCGTGACCGAGTTATAGTTTAGGTACTTACATGGATAAAAAGTAGCTTATATGCTTCTCCATTCCATATAGTACATGTATATTAAATTTCACAGTGAACACATTTATGATATTACTAATATTGTAAGTACTGTTAGGATAATATGGTAGACTTAATACCTTAAGGAATTATCTCTCCGTCAACAAAAAAGTAGGCAAAGAAATTAAATAACATATAATTTAAAGCAAGATAGATAGGTTTACAGTAAAGCTTTGTATGTGTACGTATTAAAACTTATATAATAATAACAGTAATAAACATCTGAATATCGTTAATTAACTCCAATTTGTTTTAATTTTAGAACATGCCATATATATACATTTACACGTGCACTAGTATAATTTTTGGACTCACTTTTATTATTTCCTGCCTACTCTGTGCTTACGTGAATACGTACTACGTCTACGCGTACAAAACACTATGAAACACGTAAGCTTTGCAATCGGCCGTATTGAGTTCGCAGAATTCGTGTGCATATTAAATGCAACCTCTTTTTTCAAGGAAGCGAGCGATTGTCAAGGAAAACTGTCTATCACAGGGAATTTCCACGTGTTCCAAAAATTCTATCGATAGATCATCGACCACAGTTTTCCGTTTAAACAGGGCCGCGGGCGTATTCTCGACAATTGATGGGTTGTAATGGTGATCGGATTGCTATTAGCTTATATAGAGTGAATTTTATTTTATTATGGAAATATGCAATTTCTAGAACATATAAATAATTAATATAGTAAT